GCTAATCCCTTGCATCTCTGCCACGCACGGAATCGGTTGAAAATTTAATGTTAAAAAGTCTAGTCTATCCGGTGCATTGTTTTCACCGCTATTGTTGTACAAATTTCATGGAACCGTGGCCCAGTGGAAAAAATCATGGGTGTTCAATATGTACTGAGTCAAGCCCGCTAAGGAGGGTTATAACCTGGATGGGTGACCTAAAAGTTGTACCTACTCAAGGTTTTGTTTACATTTTTCTCTTTTATTCTATTTCTTTTTGAATTGAAAATTATAGAATGAATAACTATAATCTACCTTTCCCGTCAATTTTATATGATGTACTTCAGCGATCCCATCGAGCCCAATAATAAACGTATTGATGGGTTGCAAGCATTCCCAAGAGAGTCAAAAGACAAAAACATGGCGGCCATTGTGGTGCCGTTAACAATGGATGCTAATGAGAAATCTTTTGTTAAATGGCACCAACATGGCCGCGATGACGTAACGTGCAATCGAAGAATTAAGAAAAAATATATAATTGTACTTTTACAAATAAATTATAATATATACAGTCAACTTAAAAAACGTTGATTTCGACCGGCTCAGGCTACGCCACTGGACCCATTAAATGTATGTCTTTGGGTTTACGGGAAGAAAAACAAAATATGAAGGCATTAAAGAGAAGTCTTCTTCAACACTGCCAGCTCGACAGCGAAGGGTCCACCCTGTAAACCCAAGGCATAACTAATTATTAGAATAACTAAAAATTATGCAGTCTACTGCTTTAGTGATTTCTATCCACGGTACCTTCGACCGTCCAGTCGCTTGATTGACTTGATCGACCACAACGTTTTTTGAATTGACTGTAATATAGTTGTTACAGGGTGTTTATCGGAGATTTGGTGAACGTAAAGCGTGATACACCAAAGAATTCTGTGACCTCTATACTGAAAAAAGACAAAAATACTTTAAAGTCTCGAAGATGACGACGTGACGCATATTCAGAATCTATATCTTTGCACAATTCGGATAGTTAGAGAAAAAGAGGTGCGTGCGTCACATTTTCTGAAATAGGAGAAAATGTTCCGCCTAAACCACCCGAGTAGTCCCCTTCAGCCAATCAAAGCTGCAGTTTAAAATGAAGCTAATTTTGTGATTTTTCTTAGAATACCTTGGTTGCTATAGAGACGATAAAATCCCCTATGCTCCAGGATATAATAACCAGATGGACCGTGCTCTTACTTTCCCCGTCAAAAACTTTTTTGGACCCAAATTTAACTGCGTCAATGCCTGCGCTAAGTTTCACTTTCGTTATGCTGGCCTTCAAAATGGTTACCTCTGTTTCTGTGGCAACAGTTTCAACAAATATGGTCGCCTTGACGACAAGTTCTGCAACATAAAGTGTAGAGGATCTAATCTGTACGCCAAGTTTCTCGGAAGAACTTTGAAGGGAGAGTTTTGGAAAGACTGTGGAGGACGATGGGCTAATTCTGTTTACTCTGGTAAGAACAATTTTTTTACAACTCTGCCCTCGTTCAGCAGCAGTAAGGGGGACTCGCG